GTTCGTTCTTCTGGCAGTCCATGGTATATTCAATATTCTTCACCAACACCATAATTCAAAGGCATCAATTCTTCTTCAGTCTTTCTTATTCATTGTCCAGCTTTTGTATGCATATGAGGCGAGTGAAAATACTATGACTTGGGTCAGGCACACCTTAGTCCTCAAGGTGACAAACTCCCGTGAAACCAGAGAGAACATGATTAGCTAACAGTGAGGTATAACGAAGTATACTTTATTATAAATTTTTCATAATTTGCAAAATAATCCATTTATATTCTGACCTGTATTTTCTTGATATAGGTCAAATGCCTGAAGATTGTAGAAATTATTTTTTTCTGTACTTCCAGAGAATATATGCCGTCAAAAAGATGTATAGTTATACATTGCCCCCTATTTGCTCCCAAGTAGATCTAACTTCAAAATCTTGATTATGGATGCTGAGGTGGAAGAAAATAGAAAAGTTTAGATGAATACTCTATTTCAACTGGAAAAAAATATAGGAAACTATTTTTACAATCTTTTGGGAGGATAAGAGTCTTCTAACCATCGGAGAAAACATAGAAGCCATAAAGCATTTCACAGTATCAAGAATTTTACAAATTTTAAAGAATTTCTGGATAGCAAAAGACCCATTAAAAAAGATAAATAGACTGGGGAAAAGCAACCTGTAAACAGGTAAAAGGTTAATATTAATAATATTTAAGTATTTCCTACAAAGACAATAAGAAGAAAGATAATCCAGTTAAAAAAAAAGGGGGGGGGGCAAATGATTGAAAACATAATTCAGAGAAGTATTAAAAATATCCAGTAAACAAGGAAAGCTATTCTCCCCTAAGAATCAAAACAAAATTAATAAATATTTTTTGACAGTGGTTTTTAAAAAAACCAGCATTGGCAAGGGTATCGGGAAATAGTCTCTCTCATACTCTGTCAGTGAGAAAGTGAGTTGAGATGGCCTTTCTGGAGGACAGTTTCACAATATACATCAAAATTGTAAATACATATATGCCTTCTAAATTCCTGGGTCATATGCATTCCTGATTTTGATAGTCATTGCTGAGTAGTTCTCCAGAAGGGTCATATCAGTTTGCATTCCCAAAGAACCCATTCTATAGGAGCAAATGTACAAAAAATGGTCATTGCAGTATTGTTTGTAATGTCCAGAATTTTGAAACAAACTAAATGTTCGTCTATAGAGGAATGAATATTATGCTGTCATTAAAGATGGTAGACGAAAATGTACATCTAATTTTCCTCCCTTCCTAAATCCCTCTAAATTGCCATGTCTTTTCTCCCGCGGAGTGGCTGGTGAGTTCGGATCGCTGACCTTTTGGTTAGCAGCTGAATGCTTTAACCACTGCACCAGTAGGGTGCCTCTGAAATATTATGCTGTCATTTTAAGATGGCAGATGAAAACGTGCATGTATCTTGTTCCCTCCCCAAATCCCTCTAAACCTATCATGAAAGGATTTATTTTAAGCACAAACCCACAGGGATGGGGAAAACAGAGGAGATAACAGCTAAACATTTTGTAAGGTGGAAGCGGATGGTTGGGTGGTATATATGCCCTGAGAAAGCCAGTACTAAGCTAGTAGTGGAGAAAACCAAGAACCAACCTGATTTACACCACAGAATCCTCAAAAGACCCAGGATTTGTCAGCACCCGATTGAGAGAATCTTATCTTAGCCAGCAATTATCTGTTCATATTTAAGAGTTGAGATCTCTCAGGGAAGCTCAAGCCAGACTGTGACCAGAGATTCTGTTCAGCTTATTTTCTCCTGAAACCTCCTTCTAACAGTGGCAGTACTGTCCTTTCCTTACACAGCTAGGTGTGTGCTTGCTACCCGGTTTTTAATGTTCCCTTTCACTTTCATCTGTAATTGTTGTTAGTAAACTAATAAAATATTTGATAAAATTTTAAAAGATGCCTGGCAAAGGTGGCATTATCTTTTTTTGAAAAAAGTGTATGTAATGGCATCAGGCATCAAACTCCAACTGGTGACAATTCTCTCAGCAGTTCAGGCTTCCTTGATTTTGAAGTTACACACAGTGTCAAAATGTTGTATGTGTTATTAAGAATAATTATTAGAAAATGTTCTTTTGCATTTTGCCACCAAGGAAGGTGGAATTACTTTTATAAATGAATGCTTGTGTTAAGGATTTATTTTAATACATATCTAATTATCTTAATAAAGCGACAGCTCTGATAAAATACATTATTTACCACGGTTAAAAAACCGACAGTAGTTTGAAGTTTAACTCACATGACCTGTAAATGTTTTTCTTTGAGATTTTGTCTGTCATTGACAACTTGTCAGAAGATTTTGTAACTTACTGTGACTAGTGGTACACAAATAGTTAACAGATATATTTTTAAAGTTTGTTCCTTTTAGTCAAATTCTGTTTGTCAAACCATTCTTGACCAGCTTATCTTCAGAAGATTCTTTACAGAAAAGAACAAGCTCAACATCATATTCAACTCTAAAGAAGATTACCATAACTTTGCAGAATGTTAATGAAAATATTTTGCCATTAGAAAAAAATGGTCCAGACTACTTTTTTTTTTTCCAGTACCACATTACCAGGAAACACTATAAGTGATGAACACTAAAATTTATGATCATAAAACTGAGACCAAATCAGAGTAGTAATTCCCACCTTGTGCATGAATGTTGCTTTTTCATGTCCTAATTTGACCTTGTATACAAGGGTCAGTGTCAAAATTATGTAAAAATGTTTAAGACTAGAGAGTGTGTGTTTAAAAGTCTTCCCTGCCAGCCAACATTCCTTTTCGGAACCTCTGTTCAAATTTCTTTCCTTGAATAGGTCTCTTGGTTTTCTTCCACCAGTATGCTGGGCTGTTCAGCCTTCTCCATGAAGAAGAATCCATGCCTGCTATTTTCTTTCTTTTTCTGTTTCTGATTCTTACTTCTAGCTTTCCTCCATCCTGGTTCCACCCTTCCTCCAGCTCTTTGGACGTTGGTACATCAGGGAAGCCCATTGTGCTTCTAACTCTCCATCTGGTTTACTCTCAGAAGCAGAACCCTTTTTCGATTGTCTGTCACTTGTCTGTTAGTTTCTAGAGGACCAAAAAACAGTCTTCACTTTTTCCAAGGTAAAGCCATAGATGAATTAGGTACAGCTTTTAAAAAAAAAAAAAAAAAATGCATTTTTCAACCAGCAGTATCACAGATCACAAGTATTCTTGTGCAAATTAAGTGACTCTAGTTTGTTTTTGTTTTTTTTTTTAATTAGGCAAAAGAGATTTCTCTAGCAGACCTCCAGGAGAATTATATTGAGGCATTAAATAAATTAGTGTCTGAGAATCAACAACTACAGAAAGAGTTGATGGATACCAAATCTAAGCTGGAGGTTTCCACTCAGATGTGCCCCCCCAAAACTGACAGGATTTTTAAAGCGGCACACAGCAGAGCTACTGAGTTCAAGAATACAGAGTTCAAGTAAAATTTCTTAAGAGTTTATTTAAAATGTGTATCGTTGTAATAGGGTCGCTGTGAGTCAGCATCGACTCAACGACAACAGGTTTGGTTTTTTTTATTGTTGTAATCTCATTTCTTTGAGAATAATTTCTGACTTATACAAACTGAATCCTTATTAAAGAACTCTTTATGTTTAATTCTGAATTATTATTATGCAGCATGCATAAGTGAAGTTATAATCAGGTTAAAAATGGGGTGGGGGATTAATCAGCACTTTTATAAAGCTTTAGTTTTATATACTCTGGATGTAGGTACTAAAAACACCTTCATTCCCCTGAACCTTTTCATGCTGCCTTCTACCTCCCCAGCCCCACTTGCCCCATAAGAAGTAGCATTTGGCTTTTTATAAGAAGTTTCCTTTGTATTTTTGTTTAGTTAATTATAGGCTGTTACTATAAGAAGTAAGCATTCCATGAAAAAACCCCTGGCTTCAGCTCTTACTGTATGGCCTACATGTTTTCCTACCAAAAGCCTTTGCTGACACCCTCACCCCCACCCCCCGAGGAGGTTAGGCACCCTTCTTATGTGCTGCGATGTGCACAGTGTTCCCCCTGTCCTAGCGCTTGCCATGCTTAATCACCCTGGCAGCTGGTGTGCCTTCCCTGCCATACTGTAAGTGCCAGAAGGGCAGGGGCCTGGCAGGGGGGGCTGGATATTTGGCGCTTGAATGAGTAAAAGAACACCTGGACTGAGTGGGCTGCTCATTTTGTAAAATACAGCTTTGCTAGTTAGCTTGTTAGTTTAAGTGGACTTCCTACCACATTTCTGTTAGACAAGAGCAAAGTTGCTACAATTTTTGTTTGTTTTGTTTTTTCGTCTGTTATCCAGGCCACCCCATTGCCAGCACAGACAGGGTGGAATAAAGACTGAGCACTACAAAGCAGGTTTTCGGTCTCCTCCGAGAGGACAAGCATCGGATAGCTTAGAGCCTGTGTCCAGAACCCTCAGCCCCCTGAGTCCTCAAACCAGCCCTTGCAGCTCCACCATCTCTTTGCCTTCTAACTTTCTGTGTAAAACTTTGCCTTCAGTGTTAGATGCAAATGATGCCAATTTCTCTGACACTGTGTCTGAGAGTATGAATGACCAAGACGAGTTTATATCTTTGGTATGGATACTTTCTCTCTTACTAATTTATTGAGTTTATTATTTTATTAGTTTGATTTTATTAGGTTTTGTTTTGTTTTTTGAGAGGGAGGAAGGTGATTATTTACAATAGTTTTTTTTTTTTTTTTAATTACTGGTTTTCTATTATAAGTACCTTTATCATTCTCATTTATTTTTGTCTTATGGTTTTGATTGTAAAGACACATTCAGCCAAGATCACTTTTCAAAATACATCTTAGTTCTGAAATGTAATTTGAGTTATAGATATTTGTTTGTCTTTAACCCCAACTAGAAATTCCCTTCCTGCCTTATTTTTTAGAGAGGGTCAATTTTATACTGGAGTGCTTGGTTCAAGGACTGTCTCTGGATTCCAGGATAGTCTTGAGGCATAGACAGTGAGGAAAGAGAGAAGGAACTGCGAAAAGGGAAAAGGAGTGGACAGAGGTGGAGGAAGGAGGTGCATCCCCAGTGTCCAGAATGTGACGCTGGTGCCGCAAGATAGGGCCTGACTGCAGAGCCTGCCTTTCGACATTGTGCCGGCCCCTTCGTTCCTGCAACCACTGTGCAGACCCCACCGTCTTCTGCCTTCTGTGCTGAAGAGCTTGCCCTCAAGACATTCGTTTCCTATCACCAGCGTGGCCTGATACCTGTGAAAGTTCACTATTACTGCCTTTTTTAATGTGGGCCGATAAGTCCACGGAAAGTTTTTCTTTGCGTTTTCAAAATAGGGAATACACAAGTCTTCACTTCCTTATCTGTGATTATGAAATCCTAAAAAGCTCTGAAAACAAACTTTCTTCCTGCGTTTGGCACCAAACCTTACCTGACCTGAACTAAACTGATATGATAATACGTATAGACTTTGTCCCACTTAGTGTGAACATTCATGCATTTTGCTTCAGAAATACCAGTGTGTTTCATTATGAGATGCTACCTCAAACTCCAGTAGAGTAATACTGTATATGGTTATGTCTTGTATTACCTTTCTAAAATCACAACATGTCTGAATTCTGAAACACAACTTTCCCCAAAGGTTTCAGATAAGGGATTGTGGAATTTTGGAAGAGGGAAAAGGATTGATTTTAAGTAGTGTCTGATTTATTGTTGGTAGGTTTTCTGTGCTTTAAAATGAAAGTAACATTCAGATTTTTAAAGTGAGTTTGAAATAACAGGTATTAAATATACTTTCTTCTGGGGTGTAGAAGGATGTGCTAGTGTGAATTGAAATATTCTTCAGATCAATAACTAATATCCTTTAATACTTTACATAACTTAGATCAGGAAAGGAGAGATTTGTGTTAATTTTTACAGAACTTACTGATTTTCTTTTTTTTTAACTGCTCTTGTCATTAGGATGGGGCCTGGGTGGTGCAAATGGTTTGTGCTTGACTGCTAACTGAAAGGTGCGTGTTTCCAACCCACCCAGTAGCACCATGGAAGAAGGTCTGGCAATCTGCTTCCATAGAGATTACAGCCGAGAAAACCCTACGGAGCTCAGTTCTACTCTGTAACACTTGGGGTCACCGTGAGTTAGAATTGACTCTATGGTAACAAGTTTGATTTTTCCTTTTTTGGCCATTAGGATGAAGACAAAGGAATATATATCTTTAGAGGGAAAACTATGTTTTAAAAAAATCACTTTTTAATATTGCTGGTTAAAAAACATCATGAGTAGTCTGTCTTAGAAATACAATATTCTACTTACTTGTGTCTGTCCAAATGTGTTTCTCTTCTAGTGTCCTTTGCCTGTATCTCCCCTTGGTTCAATAGCTACAAGATTTTTGGAAGAGGAGGAACTGAGATCTCATCATATTCTAGAGCGTCTGGATGCCCATATCGAAGAACTGAAAAGAGAGAGTGAAAAGACAGTGAAACAATTCACAGCTCTAAAGTAGCCTCTTAAAAAATCACAGGCTTGGAAATAAAAATAAAACCAAAGAGTTACTGTCTCTTGAAGTCATGACTCTTTAAAAACGTGAGCATATAAAAATTATGAAGATGCTACATACTAAAGCAGTTGTGAAGAAATCTGAAGAGTTGATTACCTCTGTTAGTCATTTTCACTGCACTAGTTTATTTGAAGGACTTCTTCCAGCAATAACTTGTAAGAATAAACCTCTTTGCTAGACTTTTTTCTCATATTAATATTTATTATCATAAAGTGATACTTTCTCTTGCTGACTTAAATGTGAATAGCTGTCTGCTAATTAAAATAAAGATTTTATGACACATGTTGGAAATAAAGTAACTACAGGGACTTCCTTTAAGGGAAGTACATAGTTGAAGCATGGATTTAAGAGTCAAATTGATTGATACTGGTGGTACTGGTTTTGTCACTTATTAGCCATGTAAAATTGTGCTGGTTATTTACATTCTGTAAACCTCAGGGGAGGACATCACTTATTTTATGAGGATTAAATGGGAATTCCTGGGTTAGGATGACAGGAAAGAACTAGTCTGGTATCTTCGAGTATAATGTGCCAAGTTGGGCTGGAAATGTGTAATGAGGGCCATTCTAAGGAACCTTGACAACAAGCACACTCTTGCTCATAACTCAAGTATTAGGCAGAGAAGGCAGGGGCTGGGTTTAGTGTGTGGTGCCTGAGGGACATCCACAGAGAATTTTCAGGATCTGCATTGCTGAGGAGAGGATCAGACAGGGATCAAAATCTAGATGTCATCAGTGTGCAGGAGGCGTTTGAAACCATGATTATTCATGAGATTGAGGAGAATATATAGACAAAAGAGAACCCTTGGGGCTGTGAGCGATGCCAGCTTTTGAGGATCATAGGAAATAGATTCACAAGGGAGAGAAAGTGTGCGCTTAACAGACAAGGAAGGCAAAGTGTAGTGTGCGTGCCAGCTCAAGGATGTGGCTTCTGCCATTCTCCCCTCTCTGCTGGACCTTTCCCATCTCCACCACGAAACTACTCTGCTGTTCTCAAGGTCGCAAGTGACCTGCATATTGCTGAATTCAGTAACTTCTTTACTCTCAACCTAATTATCTCTGAGCACCATTTCACACATTTGGCTTCTTCCTCTCTTAGCTTCCATCATCCCACACTCTCCTGGTCTCCCCCCACCCGGTTCCCCACCTCATTGGCCACTCCATCTCATTACTTTGCTGGCTTTTCCTCTTCTAACCTCTATGTCAGAGTGCTCCCTTGGGCTTTGACTTGTTTTTTTCCTCAGTATACTCTCCCTTGACAATTCCATCCAATTCCCAAGCTTTAAATGCCATCTGTAGACTGATAGGAGCCCTGGTGGCATAGTGGTTTAAGAGCTCATCTGCAGACCTTTCAGTTAGCAGCTTCTGATTGCACTCAGGGTAAAATCCAAATTGCTCACCGCAGCCCACAAGCTCCTCAGCAATCTGGTGCTGCTGCATCACCCTTCTTTCACTGTTCCAGTCACACTGGCTCCTTTATGTTTCTTGATCGCGGCAAGCTTTAACCTGTTAGGTTCTTTGCCTTGCTGTTTGCCTGGAATCCCTTTCTCTCCTCTCTCACCTGCACTCCAATGCCCCCTCTTCAGAAAGGCCTTCCCTGACTACCTTATCCCAAACCTGTGCATTCTAGACTCCCTAGCTCACTGCCCTGATTTATTTCCTCCATAGTACTCACTACTATGTGAAATCATTTTGTTACTTGATTTATGTTCTAATTGTCTATCTTTACCAGTAGAATTAAGTTCCATGAGGGCATGGACTTATGAGGGTAAGCTCCTTGAGGGTATCCAGCACTTCGGAGGTGCTCAGATATTTTGAACCCATGGATACATGTCCTTTCTTGGATGCACCACATTTCTTCCCTCCGTGCCTTTGTACATGCTGACCCTGGCGTCTGCCTCCCCTTTCCTCTTTCGCCTGCCCTTAAAACACCACATTTGCTTGGCTACTTTATTCTTGCTAGATGAAGCCTTCCTGAGGAATAGTTTCTCCTCATTGCTCTCTCAGCACCCTGTGTGTGCCACTCTCCTAACACTGGCCACACTGCGGTTCTCTGTACTGCTGTCTCCCCCGCTGAAAACCCCATAAGCAGGGGCCGGGGCCTGTTTCTGTGCTCTGGCAGTGTGCTGCCTAGCGTAGATACTACACAAGTACTGGCTGACTGAAAATCACTGCTATTCTGGTCTTCATTGTACTTATCCATAAAATGGGGATAATACCTCATGGGATTGAGAGGATTTACTGAGAATACGTTTCTGAAAGAACTCTGCGGACTCCAAAAGCACTGCACCCATGTGGATTGGTGTGAGGGGATTTCTGAGTTTCAAAATGTCTCAAACTTCAGCTTAAAATGTGTAGGCTACAACCTGCTTCTGAACTATCCATACCAGGGGAAAAAAAAAAAACAAACCTATTGCCTTCAAGTTGATTCTGACTCATAATGACCCTATAGGACAGAGTAGAACTGCCCTGTAGGGTTTCCAAGGAGTGGCTGGTGGATTCAAACTGTCAACCTTTTGGTTAGCAGCTGAGCTCTTAACTGCTGCGCCACCAGGGTACTCTCCATGTTGTTGCTATTAGGTGCCATTGAGTCAATTCCAACTCATAGCAACCCTGTGTACAACAGAACGAAACACTGCCCGGTCCTGTGCCATCCTCGCAACCCTTGCTATGCTTGAGCCCATTGTTGGAGCCACTGTGTCAGTCCATCTCACTAAGGGTCTTCCTCTACTTCGCTCACCCTCTACCCTGCAAAGCATGATGTCCTTCTCCAGGGACTCATCCCTCCTGACAACATTTCCACCAAAGTATGTGAGACATGGTCTCGCCATCCTTGCTTCCAAGGAGCATTCTGATTTTACTTCTTCCAAGACAGATTTTTTCTTTTGGCAGTCCATGGTATAGTCAATATTCTTTGCCAACGCCTTTTCAAAGGCGTTAATTCTTCAGTCTTGCTTATTCATCATCCAGCTTTCACATGCATATGAGGTGATTGAAAACACCATGGCTTGGGTTAGGCGCACCTTAGTCTTCAAGGTGACATCTTTGCTTTTCAGCACTTTAAAGAGGTCTTTTGCAGCACACTTGCCTAATGCAATGTGTCATTTGATTCCTTGACTGCTGCTTACTTGGGTGTTGATTCTGGATCCAAGTAAAATGAAGTCTCCTTGACAACTTCAGTCTTTTCTCCATTTAGCATGATGTTGCTTATTGGTCCAGTTGTGAGGTTTTTTGTTTTCTTTATATTGAGGTGTAATCCATACTGAAGGCTGTGGTCTTTGATCTTCATCAGTAAGTGCTTCAAGTCCTCTTCACCTTCAGCAAGCAAAGTTGTGTCATCTGCGTTACACAGGTTGTTAATGAGTCTTCCTCCAATCCTGATGCCACATTCTTCTTCATAGAGTCCAGTTTCTCGGATTATTTGCACAGCATACAGACGGAATAGGTATGGTGAAAGGATACAACCCTGATGGACATCTTTCCTGACTTTAAACCATGCAGTATCCCCTTGTTCTGTTCAAACAACTGCCTCTTGATCTAAGTACAGGTTCCTCATGAGCACAATTAAGTGTTCTGGAATTCCCATTCTTCGCAATGTTATCCATAATTTGTTATGAGCCACACAGTCAAATGCCTTTGCATAGTCAATAAAACACAGGTAAACATCTTTCTAGTAGTCTCTGCTTTCAGCCAGGATCCATCTGACATCAGCAGTGATTTCCATGGTTCCATGTCCTCTTCTGAATCCGGCTTGAATTTCTGGCAGTTCTCTGTTGATGTACTGCTGCAGCCGCTTTTGAATGATCTTCAGCAAAATTTTACTTCCATGTGATATTAATGATATTGTTCGATAATTTTCGCATTTGGTTAGATGACTTTTCTTGGGAATAGGCATTAATATGGATCTCTACCAGTCGCTTAGCCACGTAGCTGTCTTCCAAATTTCTATGATGGGTGCACACCTCCAGCACTGCATCCGTTTATTGAAACATCTCAATTGGTATTCCTTCAATTCCTGGAGCCTTGTTTCTTACCAGTGCCTTCAGTTTAGCTTGAACAACTTCTTTCAGTACCATCGGTTCCTAATCATATGCTACCTCCTTAAAAGGTTGAACGTCGACCAATTCTTTTTAGTATAGTGACTGTGTATTCCTTCCATCTTCTTTTGATGCTTCCTGTGTTAATATTTTTCCTGTAGAATCCTTTAGTATTGCAACTCGAGGCTTGAGTTTTTCTTCAGTTCTTTCAGCTTGAGAAATGCCGCATATTCTTCCCTTTTGGTTTTCTATCTCCAGTTCTTTGCACATGTTATTATAATACTTTGTGTTCTCGAGCAGCCATTTGAAATCTTCTGTTCAGCTTTTTTACTTCATCATTTCTTACTTTTGCTTTAGCTACTCGACATTCAAGAGCAAGTTTCAGAGTCTCTTCTGACATCCATTTTTGTCTTCCTTTCCTGTCTTTTTAATGACTTTCTGCTTTCTTCATGTATGATGTCCTTGATGTCATCCCGTAACTCATCTGGTCTTCGGTCATTAGCGTTCAAGGCATCAAATCTGTTTTTGAGAAGGTCTCTAAGTTCAGGTGGGTTATACTCAAGGTCATACTTTGGCTGTCATGGTCTTGTTCTAATTTTCTTCAAGTTGAACTTGCATATGAGCAGTTGATGGTCTGTTCTGCAGTCAGCCCCTGGCCTTGTTCCGACTGATGATATTGAGCTTTTCTATCATCTCTTTCCACAGATGTAGTCCATAGTAAAAGGTATTTGCAATGACGAAGTCATTGGTCTTGCAAAATTCTGTCGTGCAATCTCCGGCATCGTGCCTATCACCAAGGCCATATTTTCCAACTACCGATCCTTCTTTGTTTCTAAATTTTGAATTCCAATCACCAGTAATTATCAGTGCATCCTGATTGCATGTTCTATCAATTCCAGACTGCAGAAGTTGGTAAAAATCTTCAGTTTCTTCATCTTTGGCCTTAGTGGTTGGCGCGATAATTGGAATAATAGTCTATTAACTGGTCTTCTTGCAGGCATATGGATATTAGCCTGTCACTGACAGTGTTGTACTTTAGGATAGAGCTTGAAATGTTCTTTTTGACGATAAATGCAACGCCAGTCCTCTTCAAGTTGTCATTCCCAGCATAGTAGACCATATGATGATTGTCCAACTCAAAATGGCCAGTACCAGTCCATTTCAGCTCACTAGTGCCTAGGGTATTGATGTTTATGGGTTCCATTTCATTTTTTACTATTTCCAATTTTCCTAGATTCGTGCTTCATACATTCCATGTTCCAATTATTAGTGGATGTTTGCAGCTGTTTCTTCTCATTGTGAGTAGTGCCTCATCAGCAAATGAAGGTCCCGAGAGCTTGACTCCATCCACGTCATTAAGGTCAACTCTACTTTGAGGAGGCAGCTCTTCCCCAGTCATATTGTGAGTGCCTTCCAACCTGGGGGGCTCATCTTCCGACACTATATCAGACAGTGTTTCACTGCTATTCATAAGGTTTTCACTGGCTTATTCTTTTCAGAAGTAGACCGCCAGGTTCTTCTTCCTAGTCTGTCTTAGTCTGCAAGCTCCACTGGAACCTGTCTGCCATAGGTGACTCTGCTGGTGTTTGAATACCGGTGGCATAGGTTCCAGCATAACAGCAACACGCAAGCCCCCACGGTACAACAAACTGACAGACACATCGGGATGAACTGTCCATACTATGTGTTAATTAGGAGGAACAAAGACAAACTCTTTGGTCGCTGAAAATATTTAAGGAATCATAAGGTACTTCAAAATTTATGCAGTGTTTTTAAAGTTGAAGTAGTTAAC